ACGGAGCCGGCGCCCGGCTGGGCCAGACCCTGTGCTGCCCGGATGCCCGACGGCGCATCGCCAGGCGCCCTGACAACCTGTGTTTTTAAAAGACAAGCAATTATGAAGGAGTAGGTGCAAATAAAAAGGGGACAGAATGTCTCAGTCCCATCTTTTAAACAGGCTAGTTAAGGTTTTTATGTTGTGGGTTTTTTTTTTTAAAAATTCAAGGACATTTTTATACCTTAGTAATAAATTAACATTTCAAAAGTACTTTTACCTGCTGAGATGGTTCATTCCGCTAATATGGGTGACGCTGTGGACTCAAATAATTAGTGTAAATTGCCTTTGAAAAACACAAAGCTGGGAACAACTCTAACTGGCGAGGGCTTAATGCCCCTTGCCTAGGGGATGAAGAGTCCTTAATGGGGCCTGGAAAAACAACTAATACCTACAAATCAAAGGAGAAAAGCCGTTTTTGATGCATTTGTCTGAGAGTGTGAGTTTTAAACTAAATTGTTAACACTTCCTCCCTGCTGAGGGTCACGGATTAGCGAGGCTGGGAGATTCTTTGAGAATCTTTCACACTGACCAGGGGAGGTAGGGGGTTCCAAATACAAGTGTTTTCTTAACCCTAATCCCTACCTCCCTGCCCAGGACAGCTCCGCGGTCCCCTCTAATTAGGTGCGGAGTTGGGGGTGGATCAGCGCGTTCAGAGGTGAGGTGAAGGGCTTAGTTCGCTGCAGACGGCCAGAGCGATTCCTAGGCGCTACGGAGTTCCCTTCAAGATAATAACTTTTCTCTTTTTTGCAAGGGTCGTATTCAAGCAGACCTCAAACATGCATTTATAAGCAGTGATCATTATTATCTTCGGGCAAGTTTGGGGCAGTACCGTGACTGTTTTTACTTTCCTTTGCATTTGTTCAATTTTCGTAAGATTTTTACCCCATAGAGGCAGATCCAGAGCAGCTCCTAATCTCACCCAAGTATTATAATCATGTGCAATCCGAAGAAAATCTAATAACCTAACCAAAAAAAATGTATTCACATTGAAATGCTTCCTTTCAGTGAAAGGGAGACAAGGACATGTTGCTTAGGAGCTCTCTGGATGAAACCACTTTGACACTTTTTGTGCATATGAGTAGACACCACAGTGTATGCCTTTTTTAAAAAAAGATCTTGTAGATGTTCTTTACTGAAGCGTAATTTTAAACTTCAGGCTGATTAAAGCCGTCGCAGAATAGCTTCCGACTTTGGGGACATTAGCAAGCTTTACCCATGAGGAGCATGCCGGGCCCACCTCGACCTCTAAACCCACTTCTGCACACAGAGAACCAGACGGCGCTTTACACTCGGACAGTCAGTCCCGGGACTGCACGCTCCACGCTCCCCTCTGCCTTTGCCCTCTGAGCTCACTTGTTGACTGAACATGTTGTCCTGTCTTACCTAGTACACGCCTTCTGGGCAATAAACATATAATGAAAATAACCTCAGGAGGAAAGAAAGTGATACCCAGCAAATAACAAAACATAATGTTCTTCTACCTCCTTCCCGAGGGCGTTTGAAGGGCCAAGGTGTTTCCCCCCGTGGTCCTGAGCGCAAGGCAATGATCTAACCTTTCAGAACAAGGTCTCCTTGTCTCGTCTCTCTTGGACGTTCATCTCTGAGGACTGGAAAGAGCCAGAGCAGAACAGAAGGAAAAGTGAAACTGTGGGGGGCGGTGTGTGGGTGCTGGGCCTCCAGGCTTCATTTCCGAGTTAGTCTCCGCTGATCGGGAGGAGACATTGGCACGGCCTCTGGAAGGCACATCAGCGTTGTATCTAAAACAAAGAGAACAAACAAACCCCCAGCCCCCCAACTTCTTTGAAAGTGCAATGAGGTTTTCTTTCCACGCCTACAAATACCACGGCGGGTTGGAGGTACGAGCCTGCGTAATGCCGATTACGGTGCCCAAGACAGATCGCTCTCCATTAGCTGGGATTATGTTGTCTCTTGATCTTATCAGCTTTGTTTCCTGAGCTACGGAAAGATCTAAGGCAGCGCTGGTGAGCAGTTTGGCTTAGACCTTCTCCACCGTCATCCATCACTGTCACCGGCTAGCGGGAGGCATCAGGCGAGGCGAGGAGGCAGGATGCCGCGGTGACACGCTCGGCCCGGGCCCACGCTCCGCTTTCCCGTGCGAGCCAGCGCCGCTTCCGCTTCTCCTCGACGCGGAGGCCGCCTTCCCTTGGGTGAAAATCTCTCTCCCTGTTGCCTCCTGACGCCCCCCGGGGTGTGTTGGTTTTTTGCCTGTCCTCAAACTCTTAGCGCTATAGATAAGAGGGTAGAATATACACTCCTGGGCTAAAAAGCGGGTGGCAGCTCTGGTGTCCGAGGGAGAAAGACCAAGTCCTAGGTGAAACGTGACCAGTCCCATCTCCGGGTGTAACTCGGGTAAACTCTAGCCCACATTGGAGATGCTCAGCAGAAGGGATGTAGCCAGCCTGGCATCTTTTTAAAGAAAAAAAAAAAAATTAAAATTAAATCTGTAATTATTTCAAACTCATCCATTTCTGCTTTGAAATCTGGCTCTTTTAAATAACCCCAGGAGGGAACACTTTGTAGAGTATAGGATAGTCTAAGCACTATGTTGTACACCTGAAACTAATACGAAATAATATCGAGGGTAAACTGTATTTAAAATTTTTTTTAAAATGTAAAAAAGAAACACAAAGAGAGAAAGGCAAGAAAAAGTAATCTGCGATGTAAAAGGGAAAGAAGGTGAAGTCTGTGTGCTGATACCAGGCCGGCATCAAGATCATTTGTACGCACTCGCAGCTGGAAGGTAGGATCTCCCCCTACGAGAAGGCAAAGCTGTGACCCGAGGCACGGATGAGGCAGGTACTTCTGAGACACCTACAAGAGTCAGCTTTTTGGTCTAGCAAAAGACCAAGGAAGCTTGCTTTTCTCAAAATTTTGAGGGAAATACAATAAAATTTCAAGAAATTAAAAAATATAAAAAATAATAATGATAACCCCCCAGAGTCAGCGAGGACATCGGGTTCTGACCCCCGGCCCCTCTCCCTTGGCGCAGAGGGCTCCTGCCCTGGGCCCTGACTCCAGGCCAGCAGCCTCACCCAGAGACGCGAGACGGCATGAGATTTGAACACAGAGCCCGTCGCCTCATCTGTGGTCGCATCTGATAGGACTGAGCAATGGTGTCCCGGGAGACGTAGCTGTGTGTCAAGTAGTGAACTTGATCACGGTGAGAATACATGCCTCCTACCACCTTAGAGCGAGCGCAGGAAGCAGGAGCCATCCTCCTTGCTTTGTAATTATTTCACTGCAACGCGAGGTCCGGCGGCCTGGTTCTGGGCCTCGGGGGCTGCCAGGCATCGGTATGCGGAGCCGTCGAAGGATCCGAGGGGGCGCACGTATTTGACTTCTCTCTCCAACCAACTCAGAGGAGTTAATCTCATTGAACTTCTTTTTATTCAACAAAAGAGTTGGATGTTTCCAAGTCTAATGTGACTATAATGTTCATTAAATGGACTTCTTTACACCTTTAAATGGATTAACGGCACATCTTCGGAGTCTAATTATTCCACATGTCGTTCAAAAAAATCACAGATCTAATTCAGGGGATGATAAAGGCCTTTTTTTTTTTTTTTTTTTTTTTTACAACTATGGAAGAGACAGTGCAGTAAATGGATGTGATTTTTATCTGTGCCTTTTTGTTAAAGGGCGCACGTTGCTCCAGGGAGGTGGGAGGGAAGGACAGCGCCGGGTGTGCTGAGGTTTCTGCCCTCGTGGTTTTCGTTTAGAGATTTAGGGGCCGACCGGGCGGTGCTTGCCCTTCCCGGCTCGCTGTGCCAGGCACCTTAGAGGCTCCCCCGCCTAAGCCTGCCCAGCTAATGACTTCAGTCTGTGTAAGACAGCCCTTAGCCGGAGAGGCGATGAATTATGGACGGCCCCCTTGCAGGCCCAGGCTTCGGGGCTTCTCCGAGTTCCTTTAGCCAGACCTTTCTTGACGGGGGAGACTCTCTGTGCGTGGCCCAAGGAGCAGCCCTTCAGTTGACACCGGTACATTCGACACCAGCTGTCTTAGGGCCTGTGTTTGTCTCCTTTTCTGCCGGCATGCCCTGGCAGCTCGCTGGTGTCCTAAGAATGTCAGGAGTTTGGCTCACGTGGGTACAGGATGCTCCCGAAGCTATGAGAGAGCTGCAAGGACATTTCTCTCCCCGGGATCCCACAGGGAACGATTTCAGGCTTCTCCCTTCACAGCTGAAGAAGGTAGAGTCATCTTCATTCGTTTCCCCAGTAGTTTTTGGGAAATGATTATGAATTGGGTATTAGGCATAGCAGATGCAAAGTCGAGTAGACACAAAGTCGAGTAGACACAATTCCAACTCTTGGGGAGCGTTCAGTCTAAGAGACTTGAGCATATAATTTCGTAAATCAAAGGAGGCTCCACGTTTTCCGTCTGAGAGGAGCTTCGAGTTGGCGATCTGGTTAGGAGGTGACTGGAGGTCTGGCTCTGGGTTGTGCTTGCTTAGCCAGCTCACACTGTTTGTATTTACCTTGTACCCCCATGGAGTTGCCTGGTAGTGGTGGATGGAGACCTGGGGGAGGAAAGGAAGCACCCAACCCCTCTCTTGGGGCCACCTCTGGACACCTTTCTTGGAGCCAGTCAACAACCTTCCCACCGCCTGACCTGGCCCCTCCCAGGGAGACTGGGCAGGGGGAGGGGAATGCCAGGCTAAACCAATGGTGGGAGTGTAGGGTGGGTCTTTGGAGCATCCTCATGGCATAGGGGGAGAAGCACGCTCTGTGCCAGGTCGTGCCAGGTGGGCACGCCAGCTCTGCCACTTCCTGGGATGTGATGGGAAAGTATCACCCTCTTCAAGCCTCAGCCGCTCAGAGCCTACCTGCACTGGTGGGGAAGGGGGGGGTCTTTGCTTTTCGAGAGGAACATCCTAAAGCGTTCAGAATCCCAAGGAGCAGTGGAATGACGGCCGGCGGGGCTGGCACTGGGACAGATGGACTCTCTGGCATGGGCAGCCACAGCACCACGTGACTGTAGACTCACAGCCAAAGCCCCTTCTCAGGCTCCCCGGGCTCACTCTTGGCCTGTACCTGAAACTCCACCCTGGGCCTGCCCAGTGTCTGACTTAAGCTCTGGTTTATGAGTGAGGGTGACATGCCCCAGGCTTCGCAGGTGCTGTGCCCGAGCCTGAGCTGCCCCCGGCACGAAGCTCAGACCACTCCTGCTCCCATTCAGCCCGCCTCTGGTCTCCTTCGTGTCTGGCCGTGCACAGGATGTGGCAGCGATGGGTGAGGGCACTGCCCCGCAGAACCCTTTCGTAGATCACTGAAGATCCGTGTCGTGCCAACGTCAATGATCAGAATTAATTGCCTCCCTAACATCAGGAGTTGTGCTTCCAGGAGTCAACGTGAGCTGGGGAACCGTAAGCCTCTTCTTTCCGTCTCCCGAGGGAGCACGAGGCAGGTACCTGGACAAAGCAAACAGCAGTCCTTTGTTGCACGCTCGGCACTGTGTCCCCGTTTCCAAACGAATCAATACTAAATGAGTAAATACTTTTATTTTCTCTCTGTGTTATAAAGATTCACTCATATTTGGCTAAGTAACTTCAGGGAATATCATTAAATATGTTTCAAATAGTGGTTTCTCTAAGACTTATGATGCTCTTGGAAAACGCCCACAGTTCATTCTAGGAAGTCGAGGTGGAAGGGACTGGGGTGGGAACCCAACTTTCTATGAGGGGGTCCTCGAAATGGAGACTGTCCACTACCAAGAGAGAAATTGGCAGTGTGTGTGGGGGGGCACAGTATTCGTTCACTCATTCATCCACTTGTCTCATTAATTCCAAGTGGGGCTAGGGATTCGATGGTGCCCAATGGAATATTAAATGACAGAACTTAAACTCTTACCCAAACAACTACACTTTGCAAATGATAAAAAGCCAGAAAAAAATTAATTATAAAAACCTGACTTTAGGATATTTAAGAATAGAATTTTAATATTTTATTATGTATGTAGAGAGTGTTTATGTGGATATAATTTATAGAGCAGAAATGTACGCTTGTCTGTATTACTAATACACATGTGATATATGAAATGATGTCAGTACCAAAGCTCTGTACTCATTAACCAGAAAACATAGATTATTACTTCGAGATTTTTCTCTACCAGGGCATTCTGCAATTATCTATTTCCATCTTATTTTTATTTGATCTGGAAGATAAGATGGGTTAAGCAACCTCATTATACTTTGTTAGCTTGGTCCCAGGCTTGTCAGGAGACAGACAACACACTGACTTGCAGTCGTTCGGAGGCCTGACACCAGCTCCGGGTGCTTGGGCGGGACGGGATCTTTGTTCGGGAAGTTACTTAGGGACAATTAACATGTGGAAACTATACCAAACAGTACGTGAAAATAAGTTCACGTTGAATTTCCAAAGGGTGGAGGCGCTTTTTTTTTTTTTTTCGTAACCAGACTGTGACAACTCTTGCTGATGGAATAAATGGGATCATATTTCAGTCTCCAAGTAATTATCAGAAATGCAGCTTTGTGAATTCTTTCCTAACCGGGCCACCTGTCTCCCTTCAGTCTTTGTATATAATGGCATTCTGTTTCTGAAGGCCCTGGCCCGAGTTTAGCTCTTCCAAATGGCGGGGACCGTGGTCTACCTGCCCGTCTTGCTGTGATGAATCGACACACCCTCAGCTGGTAACCCAGCCTCCACCCAACACGCGATGCTGTGCGTCCGAAGTGCCCGTGGCGGGTATGCGAGGCTGTGGCGAGCCCGCTGTTCCCCTGTCATTGAGTGCTCCTCGGCTGGCAGGCCTGATGGCTGGGACATCCTCGGGGGTGGGTGATTTACTCTGCACAGCCCCGCCCCGGTCCCTTCACCCCCCT